GTTCAGGCGCGATGTTCATTGATTTACACATATATGCGCGAAATCTTGAGCAAGGTCATTCAGTGATCCCGTTTCATGGTGAGACCAAGACAACTCAAAGTTTCGCCATCTCACTTCTCCTCCACCAGCCTTGTTAGAAAAAAATTGTTAAAACCCTAATCTGTAAGGTTCCAAAGAATTTTCGTTCCCAACAACTTTTCGCCCCGCCCACAGAGGTACATCTGCTCAAGCTCTGGTGAAAAAAAAGTTTTTGGTTACTATCTCGTCCCTCACGAATGAGGACGACTCTTGTTGAGAGGAACATTCTTCCCTCATTAATCAGAAACGATATCAGAAACAAAACGTTTTGTAAAAAACTTTTTTTATAATCTATAAAACTTCCTCTTGGAAAAAAATGACGAATAAGTCTATGTACTCCAAGAGACAGCGACACTTGCAGTATTTTGTAGACACTAGTTACTGTTTAAAAACTGTTTTGTACAGTTACTTTTTAAAAATACTATCAAATCTAGTACAAAAATCAGAAGGTTGTAAAGCTACAGATGTCCAGATTAGGTTGGGACGGTAGTGTGGAAGCGGAAATGAGTGGCTATGATATGCTGGCAGGTAAGGTCAGGTGGGGGCAGTTGTGACGGGGCGCTCCCCGTGATCAAATAGCGCTCAACAATCTGTCATTCTTAGACATATCATCGATATATGGACAGGAGCGCACAGCTCTGCTTATACTCTATAGCCTATGTATGAACTAAGTAAGCTGTGGTCCGGTGAGTCGTTTAATTTGGTACAATCCCATTACTTTGGATTACGGGCTCTTAGAAAGACTGCAGGGCCGATAGGATAACTGTATGAAACTCTACTCTCCTGGTCAAGGTTCAACAGTTTCACATAGGGCATCAGTTGATACTATTACAAGTTACTGTGACAGGTATTTATGCTCAAAAACCCTGTACAGTGTAGGCTAGGGCTACGGATAAGCTATCCATTCTTTCAGACAAATGACCTCCAACTCATTCAGCTCTGGAGAGGTTACCAACTTTGTTGTTCCACACGAGAATGAATTTCGAGCTGTTCGTGAATTTGATACTTGATCATTATTAACTTATACTACAATTATACTTAATTTATCCCCGATTCATAGTTATATACAGTAGCGCTCAAAAGTCTTCGGTGAAATGCTTTGACGCATTTTCGTTCATAACTTTTTCCTTAATGGACCAAATCGCGCAAAATTTGGATATGTTTAACTAGAGGATATTTCGCCCTGCCCAACACTATTTGACTGCAAAGCTGCAATATCCTCAGATAGAGCAAAGTGTTTGTTGCGGTAGCACATTTTGCTACAACTAAAGTTGTTGACGTCTGCACTTATTCGCACCTTATGTGCGTTTTCCTCATCTATTGTAATCGGCGTTACCGCTCGTACACTTTAGACATGACAGAAAGGAAAGAGTTTTTAAAAGG